AAAACACTTAAATATACCAGTTCGATTTTCGATACCTCACTATTATAAAAGCTTGGTTTGGTCTGTTATTTCATTGGTGATAGTGTCCAGGGTCAATGTGAGGAGTGGAATTCTCCGAAACTAGTCTGGCTCTCAGACATACACCCCCAATGAAAGAATAGACTATTCCAAGCTTTTACTTGTTGTTAAACAAATGTTTAAACAACTCTATTCAAAAAATATACTATTTTTAGGCAAAGTAAAGTAAAAAACTGTCTTTAGGCAAAGTAAAAGAAAAATATACTGTCTTTAGGCAAAGTAGAAGAAAATATACTGTCTTTAGGCAAAGTAAAAAATATACCGACTTTAGACAAACTAAAAGTATATACTGTCTTTAGGCAAAGTAAAAAATATATATATATACTGTCTTTAGGCAAAAGAAAAGAAAAATATGTGCACAGATTTCACCTTCATCCTTATGTCAAACTGATTAATCATGCAACATTCTTTTAAACTCACGGAGAAAACTAAGTCGCAAATGCACAATTTCTAAATAAATAGTTATTTTCAGATAATATACAGACATTTTTCAATATTGTTAAATGTGCAAGATCTGTTTTAAGAATGTGCTTTGATATTAAAATTCGTTAAGGCTTTATCACGTAAACAATTTATACTTTTTTTCTCAAATTCAAATTATAAGAATTATTTCTTAAAGGAAAAGAAAATTTCAGATCGATAAAGGCAAATACAAGCTTAGAACTACCAAATGCTGCCTCTCACTCACTGTGATTTCCTGGTATTGAAAGTACCGATAACAACTGATTGATTCTTCTCACGTGCACGTGTAGTTTTTTTCACCTCTTACAAGCGTTTGTGGAAACAGATCATGCTACTTCGTTGGGTCTATTGATTTTAGTGGTAAAAATGGAATTGAAAATTTCAGCCTGAACGACACTTTTTTGCGCATGTGAGCTGAACGGCAAGGTCCAAAACACCTAATGCCAGGTATAGACACTCCTAATTGGAACTATTGACCAGAGGAAAGACAGCCAGCTAACAACACCTATCGCGACAAGGATTGTGTTAGGCTCTTTAAACTGAATAACTGGATTGACTGTCACTTTTATAATGCGCCCACAGTTGAAACTGCGGAGAGTGCTCAACTGTACCGTGGTACGAGTCCCTAACCCTTCGATTTGAAGCTCGACACGATAACCACTAGGCCACGCTCAGCTCGATTTTAGGAGAAAAAAATGTATTAAGGTAGAATATACCCTTTAAATATGAAAAGATCACAATTTATTAAATTTATTATTATTTGTTTGTTGTTGTTGTTTTTTTGCATATTTTGAATCCTTAAAGATGTAAGTATCACAATTTAGAGGATGTGATATACCTTTTTTCACCTAGACAAAAACCTTTACAGTGACAATTTTGCGCCAAATCTTCAAACACGTTTTTCTCAAAATCTGAAAATGGACATTCTCATAGTGGTTTTTAACTCGTAACGTCAGATCTGTTGCTGCTATAGATTTCCCTATTGGCATAAACATACATTATTAGTGTATCTGTAGTGTGTAGTAGTGTAAAGTTAATAAGAGGTTGGGTTTTTATTAAATGACCTTTAACGAGTCACTGTAACATCTGTCCTGATTACAGCATACTCATTAGTGCCATAATTTGAACTTGTACATCTTTAAATTTTCAGTTTTTCTTAGTTCAAACTAATTCTTCATATCCCATCAAAGACTGGACCAATTTTCAGGAGCATTCAATCATGTTGGTAGGAAAACAAATTAGCCACAGTGGTAATGTTACATAACATGTGTCAGAATATGTCTTTGTATTAATTTCAATATATTTTCATACAAAAAACATAGTATGAAGATGTTGTTGTTTTTCTGATAAGAAAGGCCAAAACTTAGATAATTGAACTAAAAAAAAAAGAGT